ATTGCATGAGACTTTATTTACAACAGTGGCATTGCATGAGACTTTATTTACAACAGTGGCATTGCATGAGACTTTATTTACAACAGTGGCATTGCATGAGACTTTATTTACAACAGTGGCATTGCATGAGACTTTATTTACAACAGTGGCATTGCATGAGACTTTATTTACAACAGTGGCATTGCATGAGACTTTATTTACAACAGTGGCATTGCATGAGACTTTATTTACAACAGTGGCATTGCATGAGACTTTATTTACAACAGTGGCATTGCATGAGACTTTATTTACAACAGTGGCATTGCATGAGACTTTATTTACAACAGTGGCATTGCATGAGACTTTATTTACAACAGTGGCATTGCATGAGACTTTATTTACAACAGTGGCATTGCATGAGACTTTATTTACAACAGTGGCATTGCATGAGACTTTATTTACAACAGTGGCATTGCATGAGACTTTATTTACAACAGTGGCATTGCATGAGACTTTATTTACAACAGTGGCATTGCATGAGACTTTATTTACAACAGTGGCATTGCATGAGACTTTATTTACAACAGTGGCATTGCATGAGACTTTATTTACAACAGTGGCATTGCATGAGACTTTATTTACAACAGTGGCATTGCATGAGACTTTATTTACAACAGTGGCATTGCATGAGACTTTATTTACAACAGTGGCATTGCATGAGACTTTATTTACAACAGTGGCATTGCATGAGACTTTATTTACAACAGTGGCATTGCATGAGACTTTATTTACAACAGTGGCATTGCATGAGACTTTATTTACAACAGTGGCGTTGGATGAGACTTTATTTACAACAGTGGCGTTGCATGAGATCGCCATGACTTCCATTTACGGGCTTAATTTGGCTTAGTTTTTATAAAATACAAATGCAGGGATGTCAACATTGAGAATGCTTTCTCAATTAGTCTCACCGCCAGATGAGTGATGGTGGCTTTGGAAGGCTGGGGGGTGGAGGGGGGAGGGCACGAAATTATTTTTGTTTCCCTCAAGGTATGTTTTAACTGGAAAGAACAGGATTGAAGTAGTAAAAACAATCTTAAAAGTCTAGAGTTCAATCTCCTCCCTCTTCACAGGAACGATAATGGACGGAGATCAGTTTGGAGAATGAAAGTTTGTCATAGAGATTTGGTTAAAACGTTTCTACAGACCAATTTCAGTTTTAGGGCAGCAGATTTGTCTCAGATTTTGCCGGTCTACTGCTGGCGTAAGAGATTGGAAATAAATGGAAATAAATGGTAATAAATGGAAATAAGCGACACGAAGTATGGAAAAACCTGGGGGGAAGGGGGGAAGAACGCAGGAAAACAAAAACGAGTCGACGAGTCGCCTTTGCTGATTAGGGATCCTTGTCGACAACGTTCGCTGTTTTGCTGCGTTCTTCTTTCAGGTTATCCCATGCTTCGTTTCGCTTATTTCCATTTTCATTTCCAATCTCCTATCCTTTTTTTCTATTCCATTTTTCTAACCCTTTATCGCAGTCTTTCCCCTTATTACAATTGGAAATAAAGTTGTTGGATCCTCATAATCGACCGTAGCAATACTGCGCCTAGGCTCAGTAGGAGTTTAGCACGCTGCCTACCTGGCTGCGGTGTTTCCAGTTGATCGCTCGAGCACTTGGAACTAGCATGACCAGGCACAACTTCTCTGAGTGTGTTTCAGGGGCCATCATTTGTCCAGTGACGTTGATTAAATACCTATATCTATACCTATATTTATTTATTCTTAGTTAAAGATATATATATCTATAGAACTCTTTGAGTTTGTTATCGTAGAGGGCTTGCCTTCATTTTGTCAATTGAGTTTGAAGTCTTAGAATAGCATTGTTATGTTTCAATCATTTGTTTAGTTGTTGTTTTTTTTTTTGTTGTTGTTTTTTTTTGTTTTTTGTTTTTTTTTTAATCACGCTTGTCGCTTGATTTTTTCTTTTATTGTTTTGATTAATTTTGAAGCTTGACCGAACCCTACAACAGAAAAACTTGTAAAGCTTTAAATTTTAATTTTTTTTTTTTTATTTTTTTTTTTTTTTTTTTTTTTTTTTTTGTTGTTGTTTTTTTTTTGTTTTTTGTTTTTTTTTTAATCACGCTTGTCGCTTGATATTCTCTTTTAATGTGTAGATTAATGTTGAAGCTTGACCGAACCCTACAACAGAACAACTTGTAAAGCTGTAAATTTTAAGTGGTCGTCCTATTGAATCTAGAACAACAAATTTGATGAAAAGAGTGATCGTGGTAGTAGTAACGCCCCTACAACATTACATTGGTGACGTTGTTGTATGTTTGTAACCCAATTTAACATACAGCCAGATAGTGATGGAAGTTTATTTGTGTGGCTAACATCATGAGCCAAATTGTTTCCTTTCGTACAATTCTACACTTAAAGAAAATGAGAGAAGCTAATTTAGATTTCTCTAGGAATTTGTTTTAAGCCAGGTTCCTTAGCTCCCTTAGCTGCCAATGGCTTCCTTAGTTTTCTAGGCAATATTATGTGCAGTGGTATAAGAGGGGTTGGTATTTTCAGCCAAACGAAGGTTTTGATTCTTTTTTCGTGGAAGTGGGCGGGCGAAAATCTAAGCCCCCCACCCCAGGCGGCAATAATCCTAGCTACACTAATCTATATATAATGTAGCGAGTGTCACACAATATGTTATTTGTCAACTAAATTTTGACATTATTCTACATATTACAACATATTCAAGTACATACATTTAATGATTTATTACGACATTTTTGTTGCTTTTAATATAATTTTTAATATTAGAAGAAATATTATCGACTTAAAACAATTATACAAAAATATAACAATTTGATGTCATTAATATCTACATCTATCTAAGTAAGCTGTGGAGATATTGAAAAATATTTCTTGAATTATCTACAAATAAAGATATTACTTTAACTTGTCTATAACCATTTTTCTCAGTAACATTTGTACACTTTTAATCGAATTAGAAAGAAAGAAGACAAGAATAATATACAGTACATTTCTTTAAATTAATTTATAAATCATACAAAAATAGTTGACATTTAACTTAATGAAAAATAGATTTTTCAGTGAGATTATATCTCATGTAAATATAAATGGCAATTTGTATCTCTCAATCCTATGTCTTGTACTGCAGCTGTTGCCTAGCACTGGTGACAAGACTTTCTGCAATTCTTGGTCATGTAAGAAGGGTTTACCCTGCACTGCCCCGTTTTAGCCCAAGCCTCGCAGCTCTGGTTAGAGTCCTCGCAAGCGTCTTTACTGACGCAGACCTTGCAAGACTTCCTGCAGTTCTTCAGCATGTACCCGGGGTTGGCCTGACACTGTCCGTTCTGGGCCCACAGGGGACACTTGCCAAAGTCATCGTCACAAACTGAATTGTCATCCCCGCCTGAAGTGCTCCCATCCTTGGCCTCGCCCACGCAAAGTCCGTTGTCCTCTGTTTGTCCTTCTTTGCATTTCTTGGCGCAGCTGGTCTCGTACGGCTTTTCCCCGTTCCAGTTTCCCTTGGGCGTGTAGAAGCAGACAAGGTACCAGGCATTCCTGTAGGCCCCGACAAGATTGGGACATCTCAGTGAATAGCAGCCGACCTTCTGGGTGCTCCACCAGACCATCTGTAACAATAAAGCGGTACTAAACTTGCGGGATCTACATTTATGAATTACCAAATGTCAAGGTTTTTTTTTTAAGGTTGAACGAATCCTTATAGATTATAGCCACTACTTTTACTTTATGTATGGCTGGAGTAATCTTTCCTACATGAAAGTTGTTCTGTAAAATTAGAAATATGTCATCTATTTTTTTTATTTTTAATAATTCCCACTTTAAGGCATGTCACAAGTTCTAAAACGGATTTAATTATTTACTTAATTTTTAAAAAAAATAATATAAAAAAATAATTGATTAACGTATTGAAATTTAACATCAGAGTTAAAATATTTTTTTTGGTTTATGTTTTTATACCAATAATATCACTTTCTGAGTGAGTCTGACTGTTAACAG